CCAAAAAAGCCTTAAAAAACCCTGCAAGTGAAATCAGAAGAATGGAAGAGATATTGCCACCACCTGCTGAATTGTGGGGCTTTGCCCAGCTCTGCCCACTCATGTGTCTACCTGCATGTCTGTCTTCCTGTCTGTGCTTGGGTACTCCATATCTGTCCCTGACATCCACATGTCACCCATCCTCTTTGCTTCCCAGATGTTCTTCCTCTCTGTTTTGATCCTGCCGCCAAATGGTTGGCCCATTCATATTCTTCCTCTTGTTCTCACTTCTCTGTCCTTACCCCACAGTGGCCTTGAACTATATGCTGGCCTCTTCCTTCCACCAGCATGAGGCCACTTTCCTGCCTCCCTCCCTGCCTTCCCTCATGACAGGCAAATTCTCATTGGGTAAAAATTGCTTTCATTAGGGGTCTGTCTCTAAAGTGAGAACTGTCTGTGTTCTCTATTCCCACTACTAGGTGAGAAATTGCTTGCTGTACAGTTGGCCCCTTCAGGGAGCTTTTGGCTCCAAAAGCCTAGCTATTATTTAATCTCACCATCCCAAGTGCCTGCCAAAGGCTTTATCAGGGAACTCCAAAAACATAAGCCCCACAGTGTTATAAGGAACCCCAGGGAGAGATGGCAAGATGGCTTACTATACACCTCTTCCAGAGCTCAACCTATCCTAGGCCTATCTCAAAAGAGGTAGACTTTCATGTGACTTAGTGAACAGAGTCCATCAGGATACCTAGGTGATAAATGTGGGCTCTCTAGAGCTCATAGTTCATTAAACCTCTGAGTTTCCTTTTTAGATTGTGAGGAAGCAGGTGTTGCTAGCTTAATATGTATTACATGTGGAATCATCTGAGTTTTCTCCATCCAGTGTGTTTATTAAAACTTAACTGAGCATGTTGGACCCTGTATTTTCATAGGTTTGATCTTCCTTTAGTACCTCTATCTCCATGGCCCTGTCCAGTGAAGTCAACCCTTATCAATCCGAGGTGTGGCTCAGATCAGTCCAGGGATTCAAACTTGGGATAGGACACCATGAAACATTTGTGGACCATAAAAGTCAATAAAAAATGAATTTACTTACAGTAAGAGATTTAAAAAGATATGGTTACTAACTAAAATTGATGCTGTTCCTTTTTTCATCACTACCTCCACCTTTACTAGGGTAGCAGTGCTAAGTCAGAGAGCCATGCCAGTGGTTCAAATCATAGTTCTCTAGACCAGGGCTTCTTAAACTTTTTCCACTTGTTACTCCTTCAGCGCTTCTTAAACTGTGCTACCCCATATGGGGTAGCAACCAACCAACCAAGTCCTTTTGGACAGTCTCCTTGCTTCCCAAAGGAAAACTAGCCTCACCTACATAGTACAGATGCTACTTCTACCACAGATCCTAGTATGGGGAAAAATGTCTCTTGTTATTAATATGGCAATATATAATTTGTATATTCATGTATACATTTGCTAGCAGGCAATATCAATTTATTTATATTTCCAGAGGAAGGATGACACTTGGAGCTACAGCAAACATATCCTTATGTAATTCTTAAGGATCATAGTAACTGAAATGAAAGATTATGAAATAAATTGCAGCATTCTTAATTGAATGAATGTTAAGTATTCTGCTGAGGTTAGACCGTTAGATGTACCAAACTTTTTTTCCCTTTTCTCTTCCCATGTGAACTTGGAGATATGTCTCTAGGTTTACTTTGTTTCTTACTCTTCCTCTCCCTATTCACCTGACTTCCCCACTTTATTTTCCTTTACACACACACACACACACACACACACACACACACACACACACACACACACGCACACACATAATATTGATTCAGTCTTAGGAGGTCATGGGATTTAATCCATTAATTCAGTTCTTCATGCTTCAGATTCTTTAAATTGCCCCTTAAATCTTTAGTCTCTTAAACCCTTTTCTGCATTGATGATGATTCTTTATTATTCTTTTACCCAAGTTCTTTTTTTTTTAATTCAGTCGTTTTTGGTCATGTCTGACTCTTGGTGATTCCATTTAGGGTTTTCTTGGCAAAGATGCTGGAATGGTTTGCCATTTCTTCTCCAGCTCATTTTATAAATGAGGAAACTGAGGCAAACAGGGTTAAGTGACTTGCCTAGGGTCCCACAGCTAGTAAGTGTCTGAGGCCAGATTTGAACTCAGGAAGATGAATCTTCCTGACTCAGGCTCAGCAGTCTATATCTACTGTGCCACCTAGTTGCCTTGTTGTTACTTTTGCTAACGATAACTTTGGTAGTGGTGGTGGTGGTCCTTTGTTCTCAAAGAGGACCAGTGACATCATTAGAGTGATGTCTTGACTTGCCAAAAGCATGAAGGAGTTGATTCCATTGGTATTTTCTTGGTAATTGTATTTATTTTCTGGTTTTTTGTGTTTCTGTTGTTTTGGGGTATTTGTAGTTCAGATATTGTTGATGAGTTGAGGTGAGTATTTCAAAGGTTGCCTCTATTTTCTTAAATGTCATTTTCATTAATTATTAGGCTACTTTTGCAGGATATGTTAATTTTGGTTTGTGGTTTAACTTCTTTTGTTTTTTGGATTATACTATTATTCTGGTCTCTTCTCCAATTTCATGCCTGCATGACATTAACCCATATCTGGGTTATTTGAGTTGTAGTTCACTCATATGTCTCTAGGCTGCTTGCAATTTTTGTTTTTTATTGAAATTGGGAATTTTAGCTACAGTATAATTTGAATTTCTTTGCTGGTGATCTATGGATTTGATACATCAGTGCTTTATCATCTGTATTCAAAAGTTCTGTACAGCTTTCTTCTGTTTATTTCCTACAGTATTATTTTCAGGTTTTTTAATTTGTTCTGACATATCTATGTTCCTTCAGCAATCTCTGTACATTCTTTCCTCAAGGTCAGTCATTTTGGCTCGTGTAGGATTATTGCATAGGATTAATGCATTCTTTTAATATTTTTGTTTTTCTGTTACCATTTTTCTTGTAGTTCTATATTTTTGCATTTCCAGTCTGTTGTTCTCTTTCTCATGGTCACTGCTTCTCTAGATACAGTGTCATATCTAAGTACTGTACTCTGCTATTATTGTGGTTGTCAGTTCTATATCAAAATCTGTGATTTCTGATCTAATTCCATGCCTAGTTTTTAAGTTGTTTTATTTCTCTTTTGAACCATTTTGTTGTTTCTTGTTGGCTTATCTGTTTCTCTGATTATAACTTCCCTAGAGATCTATATCTATATTTATACATATACATATATACATATTTGCATATATGCACATATATATATATATATGTATCTTCATACCACTTTGTGTAAATAGGTTATCATTGGACATATGTTATAATCTATATGTTATATATATATTTGACATATGTTACAATCTGTATACAAATCTCTCTTTTGTCATTTATAACTTTGATTCTTCAGAAATTGTGACATTCTGAGATTTGAAACCACACAACATCAGTCATAGAACATTTATATTTGAATGAGATGGTTTTTGTGTGCCAGGGAACAACTTAGAATCATTGAAAACGCTATGAAATTTCCCAAATGATATGTAGCCCACACTCTTCTTCCTGTTCAATTATAGACCCACTTTATTGTCCATCTGCTGTGCTTGTTCTAAACATGTGAACTATTTTAACAACTCAGTGGTTGGCTATCCAATAATTTTGTCATAGTTTGATCATGTACCCCATAAGATTTTTTTAAAAATTTAGTTTGTACTCCCAATATAGGGAGTATTTACTTGTTTATAAATTATTCAATTATACTACTGTACTAATAATTACAAATACTATAAAATGATCTTAAAATAGAAATTAGAGGGTGAGATAAAGATGAAATAATATAATATTTGATCCAAGAGTTAATAGTAATGGAGTTTGAATAGAGAAGTGACATGGTTGAAAAAAAAAACCCTACACTTGAGGAAAATCATTTTGACAGTTTTGTCTAGGATGGATTAGAGAGGGAGAGTCAGTGAGACCAATAAGGAAGTCGTTGCAACAATCTGAAAGGTAATAATGGCCTTAACTAGTGTAAGTAGAGAGGAAAGGATAAATGAGGTATTTGAAATACTATATTGTTAGAAATTACAAGATTTGGCACCTGGTCATACATGTGAGGTGAGGGAAAATGAGGAGTCAAGGTTATAATGCCAAAGTTATTAACCTGGATGACTAGAAGAATGGTGATACTCTTAATGTAAATAGGAAAGTTCAAAAGAGGAGTGAGTTTGGGAGAAAGGTAATGAGTTTTGTTTTGGAAATGTTGAGTTTGAGTTGTTTATGGGACATAGTATTTAGAATGTCTAATAGATAGTTGGTGATGTTGGACTAAAGATCAGGGGGGTGATTGGGGATGGATATGTAAATCTAGGAGTTATCTTTGCCAAGAGATGATAATTAAACTCATAGGAGCCAGTGAAGTTACCAAGTAAAAGAGTGTTCAGAGAGAAGATATCTTAGGACAGAGCTTTTTGTGTATACTCATCGTTACAGGGTGTGATATAGATGATAATCTGGAAAAAGGGACTAAGAAGGAATGGTCACAGGGGTAGAGGAACCAAGATAACAGTCTCACAAGTCAGGAGAGAATCATTATCTAGGAAAATAGAGTAATAAACAGAACGGAATTCTGCAGGGTGCTTAAAAAGGATGAAGATTGAGAAAAAGTGATCTGATGTGTCAATAAAGATATCATGAATAACTTTGAGAGAGAGGCTTTTCAATTGAGTGAGGGGTCAAGGGTAATACTGTGAACCCAAGAGACTAGATGGTCAGTGGTGTGCTCAGCAGAATTAGGAAAATTTGGAAGACACAATAGTTTACGGGGGAAAAAAAGAATGTAATGTCATACCCAACCATACCTGCTTATCCTCTACTATTCCGTTTTTCCCAAAATGAAAAGTATGTTTGGGACAGAGTGGGGAGGAAGGAAAGTGTCAGGAATGATGGTTTTAATTGCAGTGCCAAGAGTGACCTTGTCTTTTTTTTTTTTACTTAGAGGAAATACAAGAATAGAAGAGGCTTGTGAAATGTATACGAGAGCTGCAAACATGTTCAAGATGGCCAAAAATTGGAGTGGTATGTATGAGCTTTTTGTTTTTAGACAGTAGATCAGTATTTTCAAAACAAGAAATGACACCACTGCCTTAAGTTCTATTTAGAGAAAAGGACTATGCCCACCTAAATCCCATATTGTAAGTGCCATGAAAGTACATAGGTGGTAAATTGTCATATACAAGTATGACTACCAAAGACCTGTCCTAGTGAAGTAATAAACATAAGCAAAAAGTAACCTACTTTATTTTTTTAAGGCCTGGAAACAGCAACTGCTTTGTTTTCTCCAAACCATTTAATACAGTGGGCATTCAGGAAATGTTAACATAATTATAATAATAAAAATTAAGCTAAGATTAAGAAAGAGTAGCCATCATCATAATTGCATTCACATTGTGTCAGAAAAGGACGAGAACAGAGATAATCAAAAAAGTATTTTGAAATACTTTTAAGAAATTTAAACATTTATGTTACCAGTGAAAAGAATGTCTAATTACTTTATGTGAACCAGATGGCAATGGTCTTTGATCACTATCAGTTCCTATTAGGACAGGTATTTCTTTAGGAATTATAATAGTGATAAAGTTGACTAAATATAAATATCAGCCCTCTTTTTTTTTCTTAAACTAATCCTTCATTGATACAGTTTCAACAGTAGAAAAGTTAATAAAATCAACTTCCATTTGCCAAAAATGAGATATTCTTTCTGAGTAAATGACTTTTTCTAAGTTAATTTTAGGGGGAAATAGTGGTAAGGAACCCTAATTTTTCCTTCTTGAAACAGGTTTTACTGTTTTCATATTAAGGGCAGGTAGGTATTGTTGGGGGTTTTTTTAATAGCAATAAAATGGTTACTATTTTTGAGCAAGATACTACTGTAACTTTTTCTTCAACATAGTTTACCCTAAATCAGTCCACATATTCTATGTGTCTTCTTTTCCTGTACCGTCAAAACATATGAATGTAGGTGAAAGCAAGCTATTTAATTTTATTTGTCCACAGAATTAATTTTATTTTCTAAATCTGAAACTTTAAAAAAAATTTAACTGAAATTTAAATTACTAACATTTGACCTACATTACTGTATTTTGGTGATTGCAGTGTCCACTTACCTAGCTCCTGATACTTTTTTGGACTACTGCCTCCAAGAAGAGATAGACATTTTAAGATAATAAAAGTACTACATATTATGCATTGCTCATTTCATAATATGAACCTGAAAAGATCATACCATGTTGAGAGAAAATAAAGTTCAGTTGTTTTAAAGCCTATGTTTATTTATATTTAAAGAAACTAGATAAGCTAATTAACTGTGAGTTCCATATGTGCCTGTGATTTCAGAATTTCTATAGTGATGATTACAAATAATAAACAAAATTTAATAAATCTTTTTTGAAGGTAGAAAGGCAAATATGCAGAATTTAAAGTCAATATATTATTGGGGTTTTTTTGGAGAAACAGAGAAAGATGGAAAAGTCCCAAATGTTGGGCTGTATTCAGACATCTATAATTGAACATATTACTCATAGTTTGAGAACATTCTGTAGGTGTTTGTCATTAGTGCTTTTAATTGTGTAAGCTCTTTTATTTGAATGTTTTTCTTTGTTATGCTTCATGAGAGAGCCTGTTTTAGATATAAATTGGGTGGCCAAGTATTAAATAACTACATAAAGAAATATGAAGTTTAAAATACAACTTTCTTGAAGGAAGCAGATATCTTCCTTTGCATTCCCACATAATTCATACATATATAATCCAGGTACCCTTTTCATTGTTCCTTGACTCGGTCAGTTTTTTTCAGTCTGCACAACTCTATGGTATTTTCTGCCTTCTATAGGAAATGCCTTTCTTAATTCTTCTTGTATGTATAAATCTTACTCATCCTCCCAGACCAATCTCAAATCCCACCTTTCCCAGCAATTTCTGTATGTAGTGAACCAAAACCTCTCCTTTCTACTATCTCATAGCACCTGTGTGATATTTCTACTACATATTGGGGCACATAAATGTGTCCTTCCTTGTTCTCTTCTTGAGTAGTATCCTAGATTGTGAGTCCTATCACCTGTGTTGTAGTCATGACGTCATCTAAAAATACCTCTTGAGGGCAGGAATTGTAAATATTTTGTACTACTTTTATATCCTCCCTAGTGACTGGGCTCTCTAGTACTATATTATTTTTAAAATAAGTTGAATTCAAAGGGACTTGAGCTATATTGGGTACTAATTTTTTTTTAAATGAAGGTTGTTACTTGTGAGTGGCCGTGCTTAAAGGAACATGGCCTTCGAAACTGTAAAAATTCATACAGGTGTACCCTGATGGCATGGCAACAAACAATTAATATGTTTTACAGCAATGGAATTAGGTCTTATAGTAATCATAAGGTTATAGATATAGAACTGGAAGAAACCTCGCAAGTCTCCCTACCTCCTCCACCTACTTTTTTTTTTCAGACAACCTCTTTTACAATGAACGTGAGAACAGAGAAGGTTACTTGTCTATGTTCATACAGGTAGTAAGTAAATGGCCAAGCAAGGATTCAAACCTATGATCTCAACTCCAAATTCAGTCCTGTTTCCACCATACCATAATAACCAACATTTTATAGTATTTTAAAGTTAATAATGCACTTTGGATACATTATATTTCATTTTGTTGCTTGATCCTCACAATAGCTATGTGAAGTTATTTGTAATCAAACCCCACTATAACATTCAGTATAGGTAGACTGTTCTTTTGAGACCAGCTTCACTTGCCTTCTGGTCCAGTTCCCCTACCCCATGATTTCTTTTATACTCCAGAACAGAGTGGGGAACCTGTGGCATGTGGCCTTCTAGGTCCTTGGGTGTGGCCTTTTGACTGAGTCCAAATTTTACACAGCAAATTCTTTTATTAGGGATTTGTTCTGTGAAGTTTGGAATCAGTCAAAGGGCTGCACTTGAGGAGGTAGAAGGCCACATGTGGCCTCAAGGCTTCAGGTTCCCCACTCCTGCCCCAGAATATCACCTCCTGAGACATGGAGAAATCCTGGCTTTCTCTTTCTAGTCATTTCTGCACATTCACCACCCTAAGAATATATGCCTCTATTCCAGCTAGCAGTGTTCTTATAGAACTAACTGCCCCACTAAAACATTATTTTTGATTCACTTAACATTTTTTTGTGTGAGGAATCAAGTAATTTTGGCAGGGTATATTTATTCTTGACTCTATTTGTTTCTGACTTGGAATACTATGTTTCAGTGAAATCCTGATTTAAAAAAAAAGTAGATCAAGCTGCTGAAGGTTATACTTTGATGCAACTATAAACCTCTGGATATTTAGTAGAACTAGAGAAATACAACTTTTCTTTTCTAGCTGCAGGAAATGCCTTTTGTCAGGCAGCCAAGTTGCATATGCAGCTACAGAGCAAGCATGATTCTGCTACAAGTTTTGTGGATGCTGGAAATGCTTACAAAAAGGCTGATCCACAAGGTGAGACCCAGAATACTATGTATTCAACAATATCTGCTTAACTCTGTGTTTACATATTTTCAGATTTTTAGGTAGAACATTAGCAAAGTCTTTCATAGGCTACTAGAATATTTTATTTTTATCCTTTTAACAAAAATAACTACTGTAACCTAATTTAGAATATTTGAGTTGTTTTTCATAGTTTGGGTTTAGAGGACCCTTATTTACTTATACAAGTATTTGGAAGTAGTATATGGACAAAGAGTAAATGATTTTGACTGTGTAGTTGTGAACATAGTTGCTCCAGCTATCCATATTTATTGGTGAAATTGATTGTATACATACTTTGTATGTTCTTACTGTCTTTATAGAAGCTTTTGTGTGTTTACATATTGAGTATATAGATAGCTGGTTTGGGGCTTTAACTCCATCCTAAAGTTATCCTCTCTTCTAGAGGATTACATCTTATATAAGATTGAAATATATTTAAAAATTCATTTGTAACTCTTGTAGAAATCCTCCCAGTTATAGAATGAGGTTGTGAGACTTGGAAGAAGATATGGTACACATAGTTATTATATATCAGTTTTGAAAAGGATTTTTCAGGATATTTTGATTTTTCTATTTGATGTACATGGTGAAAATTTTTTTAAATGAATGTGCTTCTGAAATAAGAAAGGCCTTTGTAAAAGTTACTAATGTATTTAAATAAATGCACTTGACAAATAAAAGTATTAATTACTATTACTCTGTTGTCCTCTTAACATGTAATAATATGAATGACTTTCACTTATAAGATGGTTTAAAGTTTTCATAGTGCTTTTAATGGATGTAATTTCCTTTATTTCTTTAGAGGATTGCTTTCCAAACTGTTTTCCACATGAAGTAACTAGGGATTTAATGAGAGTATTTTTAATGATAGCTGTAGTTTCCCCCTCTAAAATATTAAATAAGAAAGAATATGTATAGGGTATCCCAAAAGTTTTAATAACATACACATAATGCGTATGTATACTCCTACACATATGTATATGTATAAATATATTTATACCTATACAAACACACATGCATATATATATGTGTGTGTGTGTGTGTGTGTGTGTGTATATATATATGTATATATATATATATATATATATATATATATATATATATATATATATGCATGCACTATGTAATCAAAGGTACTTGTTACATGTGGCAGTTTTTAAAATTTCACATATGCTTAATTTCCTCCATTTTTCTTCAAAAGTTATCTGATTCCACTTTTTTCTCTTTTGTGGAATGTCTCCCAGTATGCCCTCTAAACCACCATTTGTGCATTCCATCAATATACAAAAAGTAAAAAAAAAGTGTCATTGCCAAATTAGTTTGGGAAATTATCTAGTATTTCAGTCAGAAATGTTCACTTTTAGATTACTAAAATAAGACCCTAGAATAGAGTTAACTTTTTACTCTTATGTATTTTATGATGCTGAACTACTTTTATGCCACAGTAGAGTTTTTGATAACCTTTACTGATGAAGTTGCATATTTTTTAGGTAAATTTCTATAGCTTTTTTATGTAGATATGTTTAATAGAATAATAGTCATGCGCTTTCTTGAGCATGCTAGAAAATGTTGGCTTGACTTGTCTAAGGAATTTCATCAAAATCTATTTGAGTTGAACTGCAAGAAGAATAGAACTTATAGCACTGACCTTTCTTGTGTTCCAATGGCAGGAATGATGCTATGTCTTCTAGTTATGACTCATATGAGACCAAAAGAGGACAGCTTTTCATTCTACTCTGCTTATGGTTTTAAATTATAACTTACCCAAGTTAATATTAATGAACCCATGCTTTTGTTTTCTTTGTGATGCAATCTTTCATGTGGATGGAATCCTCATTTAGAGGTCATAAGTAAATAAGCCGAATACTGCTAGCACGGGCTGTAATTCCCTAATTTACATTGTAGTGGTTGGAAACAAAACCAAGCTATAATTACAATTGGAGTTTTGCATGATTGTGTTTCCTTTTCACTAACTTCCCTGTCCACCTTCCATTCCCAAATTATACCTAATTAATATTCTAATAAGAGCCGTGAAGAAAATTTCACTTTAATCTTATTTGACTGAATGGATCTCTCATTGTTTTTCTTAAATGCCTACGCTTCAGAGGCTATCAACTGCTTAAATGCAGCCATCGATATTTACACAGACATGGTAAGAAATTGCATTGCTTGAGCGGCTGTGGGGTGGAATCAATGAGATGTCTTGGAGTATTATTCTTTTTTCACTTTTTCCCAAACTGATTTGGTAGAAAACAAATGAATATGATAGATGAACCTCTGCTTTTGTTTCTTTTGTTCCCAGGGAAGATTTACAATTGCAGCCAAGCATCATATTACAATTGCTGAGATATATGAAACTGAGCTGGTAGATATTGAAAAGGTAAGTTTGCAATAGCTATTCTTGCAAAATTTTGATCTAAAGAATGGTAGATAAAATTAAACTTTTTTTACCTTCCTTTTCTTTTTGGTTAGGCAATGGGGTTAAGTGACTTGCCCAGGGTCACGCAGCTACTAAGTGTTTTGTGTCTGAGGCTGGATTTGAACTCAGGTCCTCCTGACTCTAGTACCAGCGCTGTATCCACTGCACCACCTAGCTGCCCCTTAACTTTTTTTAAGAGAGCATTTTACTAGCCAGTTAAATTTTTGCTAAAGGAAGCCAGCATTCTTGAAGCTGACTTACATTTTGGTAGTAACTAATTATTTGTTCTTCATTAAGTCTTTCACTGATCACTGCTACAAATGTCCCTTTATCTTTTAATGTGAGGTCATCTAAGTGATAATTTGTTGAATTTAATCCTGTAGTCTCCCAGTAATCTCTTGGAACTCATTTTATCATGAAAATGAAAAATGTTGCAAAAGGATCCTGGATGTAGGTGACTGTCTTATCAATGTATCTGTTTTTGATTGAAAACTCCAGGAGAAAAGAACTTTTTATCTTATTAACTGCTATCAATCTTTTTTCAAGGAGGTATCACAAAGCCAAGTTCCCAGGAGGTGCTTGATGATGGAACATTCAGACTTGGAATTAACTACTTCATTAAAGATTCTATAAACATGGGAAAGCAGTGTGCAGGGTGGTGCTTTCAAGGATAGCTAGGTTGTGAGCTCCATTCTAGCTCTCCTTCAAAATGCCATTGTAGCCTAGGTAGCCATTTGAATGTGAGACTAATATTGGGGATCGTCTTAACTTTCAGAGCTAATCAAAGAGAAAACCACTTCATTTTACTTCTGTCTTCTCTATTAAACAACATGATCTTCACACTGGAAGGTTATAGAAGCTGTGGTTAAGAGGAAATTGAAATATGTAGGGAATACTTAACTGTTGAAAATTTTTTTTCTAATCTTCAGGTCTAGATGATTCATATCTGATATTTACACGTTTTCATGTATAAGAATTTGAAGATTGCATAATGAATCATTTTCTTTGAGAAATCATAGTGAATGGGAAGGTTGCCAGAAGACTAGAAGTGGGTAGAGGTTGTTTCTGCATTTGATAGGGAAGAGACAGTAGATTACAGAAACTAAAAATAAGCAGAATTCTAGAATAGATTATTAAATGTATTTTGTGAACACTCAAAGTCATTATTACTAGGAACTGTCTTGAATTTGCTAAAAACCAGTTATGTTAAACTAAATTCTATTTCCTTAGAATTTCTAGGTAAACAGATCAAGTGACTGTCATAGATACTGTATTCACAGTGTCAGACCGGCATTTCACAAAATCTATCCTTATATTTTTGTGTACATGTTAGGTGCTCCCCAAATGATAATGTGATTAGCAATGCTGGCTACAAATCATTGCTAGGCTAGAGGGCGAGCTCCAGTGGTGTGCCACAGTATTCTACCCTTGGTAACATTCTGTTCCACATCTTTATCAATAATTTTGGGGAATATATAGAAGGCATGTTTATCAAATTTGTGGGTGACACAAAGCTTGAAGAGAGCTAATACGTTGAATGACAGGAGTCGGAAAGACATGTCAAAATTAACACAGTGTAATTTTATAAGAATAAATGTGAAGTCCTATACTTGGATTTGGAATAATTAATTATAAGAGATTGGGAACATATTTGACAATATTTTATGTGAAAAAAAATCTAGAGGCTTTAAATGATTATGAGCTCAATATGAATCAACATTTTGATAACGTCTTCAAAAAAGCTAATTCAATTTTTGACTACCCTAGTAAAAGAGTAAATTAAGAATGATGGTAGAAAACAAACAGGCTTCCAGGAGCCAAGATGGCGGAGTGAAAAGGCAGTCCCTCTCACTCTCCCCTATCAACCTCTGAAAACCCAGAAAATATCACCCTAGAAAAAAAAACCCTGGAACACCTGAACTAGAAGAAAGATGAGAAGCAGCAGTGCAGCAGCACAGCAAACCGGTCTCCCAGTGCCTCAGCAAAAATAAGGGAGGCAGAACTACAAGGGGCCCCAGGCAGACAAGTACCCTGCATTCATCTGAATGGAGGTGAAGAAAACAACCTAAAGGCTTCCTAAAGCCCGGTCTTGCTGATTCCAACCCAACACCAGGTGAGCTGTAGGAGCCCTGAAGCCTCCAATTGTGAAGAAATCCTGAAGCCCAGGTGGTAGAGCAGGCAAACACCAACACCTGGACCTCCCAGTGCCTCAGTGAGGGCAGGAGGAACCGGTGGAAACCAGCTCAGAAAACCACCAGGAGCCGGCACTCCACTGCAAAGGAATCTCCCAGTGCATTAGCAGAAATGAGGGAGACAACACTGCAGGGGCCCCAGGCAAATAAACATCCTGCAGCACCCATCTAAAAGGAGCTGAAGAAAGCTAAAGGAAAGGAAAAGCAGGCAACCTAGAATTGCCTGAAAGTTCCAGCCTTGCTGATTCCAGCCCAACACAAGGTAAGCTGCCAGAAACCTACAGCCTCCAATTCCCAGCATAAGAGGCCCCAGCACGCAAAGCCAGTGACCAAGACCTAGGCTCCCAACACAAGAAGCTTGGGTCAGTACCCTCTGTTCCCCAGCAGGAGAGCTCAGTCTCTTTAAAGGCCAGGGAATAAAGAAACACCATGAGTAAAAAGAATGTACCATAGATTCATATTATGAGAAGAGTGAAGATCAAGACAGAAATTCTGAAGAGGACAACATTGTCAACAAACCCACATCTGCAACAACAAAAGGGAATATGAACTGGTCTGAAGCCCAAAAAGCCTTCTTAGAAGAGCTCAAGAAGGATTTTAATAGTCAAATGAGAGAGGTAAAGAGTCCTTCAAAAATACAATTGGCCAATTGGAAAAAAAATACACTGAAGAAAACAAGTCCCTAAAAAACAATTGGCCAATTGAAGAAGGAAGGACAAAAACTAACAGAAGAGTATGTGAAGAAAAAGTCCCTAAAAAACACAATTGGCCAGTTGAAGAAGGAAGTACAAAAACTAACAGAAGAAAACAATCTGTTAAAAACTAGAATTGGACAAATGGAAACTAATGTCTCTATGAGAGAGCAAGAATCAGTCAAACAGAAACAAAAAAATGAAAAAATAGATGAAAATGTAAAATACCTCATCAGTAAAACAACCGACCTGGAAAATCGACTCAGGAGAGACAATTTAAAAATTATTGGACTACCTGAAAATCATGATGAAAAAAAGAGCCTGGACAGTATCTTTCAGGAAATCATAAAGGAAAACTGCCCGAAGTCCTAGAACCAGAAGGGAAAATAACCATAGAAAGAATCCACCATCACCACCTGAAAGAGATCCCAAATTGACAATGCCAAGAAATATAATAGCAAAATTCCAAAATTACCAGATGAAAGAGAAGGTGCTGCAAGCAGCCAGAAAGAAAGAATTTAAATATCATGGAACCACAGTCAGGATTACACAGGACCTTGCAGCTTCTACATTAAAAGACCGGGCATGGAACATGATATTCTAAGGCAAAGGAGCTTGGAATGCAGCCAAGGATCAATTACCCAGCAAAAATGAGCATCATTTTTCAAGGGAGAGGTGGATTATTCAACGAAATAGGAGACTTCCAAACTTTCCTGATAAAAAGACCAGAGCTCAACAAAAAATTTGATCTTCAAGTACAGGACTCAAGAAGGACATAAAAAGGTAAATGGGACAGAAGGATACAATATGTTGTTAATGGGGGGGGGCTGTTTAAACCCCTACAAGGGAATATGAGCAACCCTTGAGAACTGTATTTATTACACCTTGTTAAAGGAGTATACATAAAGAGGGTGGATATTAGTTGACTTTGATGTAATGATAAAAAAAAATCTAATCAAGTGGGTTAAATGGATCCAAATAAGTGGATCAATCTGATCTTAGAAAATGTACTGAGAAAGGAGGAGGCAGACAAGGGTAAATTACATTACAGGAAAAGACACAAAATCCTATTACAGCAGAGGGAAAAAAGGCGGGGGAGCATTGTTTGAACCTTACTCTCATCAGATTTGGCTCAAGAAGGGCATAATATAATCAGTTAGGTATAGAAATCTAACTTGCCCTATAGGCAGTAGGAGGGAAAAGGGGAAAGAAAAGGGAGGGGGGAAAAGAAGGGAGGGAAGAAGCAGTAAGACTAAAGGGAAGAAAAGGGAAAGGGATAATAAAAGGGGGAAGGGACTGAAGGAGGCGGTGGTCAAAAGCAAAACACTAGTGAAGGGGGAAAGGAAAAAGGAGAAAGAAAAGCATAAATGGGGGAAAGGATGGAGAAAAAGACACAGATAGTAATCATAACTGTGAATGTGAATGGGATGAACTCTCCCATAAAATGGAAAGGATTGCAGAATGGATTAAAAACCATAATCCTACAATATGTTGTTTACAGGAAACACATTTGAAAAAGAGTGACACATACAGGGTAAAGGTAAAAGGCTGGAGCAGAATATATTATGCGTCAGCTGAAGTAAAAAAAGCAGGGGTAGCAATCCTGATCTCAGACAAAGCAAAAGCAAAAATAGATCTAATCAAAAGAGATAAGGAAGGAAACTACATCCTGCTAAAAGGCACCATAGACAATGAAGTAATATCATTACTAAATATATATGCACCAAATGGTATAGCATCCAAATTCTTACAGGAGAAGTTCAGGGAGTTACAGGAAGAAATAGACAGCAAAACTATACTAGTGGGGGACCTGAACCTCCCCCTCTCAGCACTAGATAAGTCTAACCACAAAATAAACAAGAAAGAAGTTAAGGAGGTGAATAGAACATTAGAAAAGTTAGGTATGATAGACCTCTGGAGAAAACTGAATGGGGATAGAAAGGAATATACTTTTTCTCGCAGTACATGGCACATACACAAAAATTGACCATGTACTAGGGCATAAAAACCTCACAATCCAATGCAGAAAGGCAGAAATATTAAATGCATCCTTTTCAGATCATGATGCAATAAAAAT